CACAGGTTGAGAACTGAACTAGAGACATCTTAAAAAAAAAAAAAAAGTATTGACAATGCTTTTTTTAAAAAAAAAAACCAGCCCTTGGAAACCCTCTGAAGCACAGTTGTACTCTGAGACATTCCTGGAGATGCCAAGAGTCAGAATCTAATCCAGGAGCAGTGGTCGGGTTGTTTGATATGAGAAGCATAACCCTATGAATGCCACAGATGTCTTAAACTGGGTTTTCCAGGGAAGCAAAACCAAGGACGCTTATATATGCAGATATTTATCTATATGGGGAGATTGACCTTCAGGATGTGCAGCAAAGTGTGTGAGCCACCACAGCATCTGACAGTATTGTGTGGGGAAATTTTATGTAGGTATCACTCTCCTGTCTCTTTCAGGTATGTAGGCAATTATTTTCATAGGAAAAACAATGTGAAAGACAGGATATGTAGAAAAATATATGATGGGTGATAGAAAAGAAGAAAGGAAAGGAAGGAAAAAGAAAGAAAGAAAAGATCGAGTGAATGATCTGGAGTGAGTATGACTCCCATAGCAGGCAGCTTTTAGTGGCTCTTTGAAAAATGTTTTCTAAAACAGCCTCTTTTAGAAAACTGAAAAATATATATCCTTCTCTTGAATTAACAAATTAAACATCATGAATGAAACAAATTGAATATTAATTATGAACTTACTTCTCCAAGATATATTTCCATCGTCACTCTGCACTCTTACCCCCACCACCCAACCCCATCCCTGGAGCTGCTGCTCCTTCTTTCCTGAATTTGAGAGTCACATTCTAAATGAATGTTTCCCAAACCAATTGTCATGGGCTTGGCTTCATCCGAGTTACCCAGGAAGTTTTTACAATGAAGATAGTTCAGCAGGTCTAGATGGGCTTGAAAATCTGTCCCAGGTCAGTATCTGTGTTTAAAGATGATAAGTCAAGAAATAAAGACAAGATTTATACTTAGTGGTTACACGTTGGACTGCGGACCACAAGGTCAGATGTTTGCAGCCACCAACTGCTTCTCAGGAGAAAGAGGGGGCTTTCTATTCTGGTAAAAGAGTTGCAGTCGGGATTTCTGGCAAGATGGCAACCAGGTAGGCAGCTCATGCTGGGAGTTCTGTGAAGGTCAAGGAATGGGGAGATCTAGAGGCCCTGTAGGGGATCTGAAGTGGTTGGTGAATCCCTGTGACAGCCCAGAGTGCTTTCCTGAACCAGGAGTTGACTTCCCCCACCCCTCTCCTGCACCTGCTCCAGAGTCCTGGGGACCTGCAGCCTGCTGCAGGGACTGTTCCAGCCTGCACTGCTTGTGCTGCTGCAGATCCCACAGCGGCTATCACCTCTGGTTAACCGCCTGCACCCCAAGCTCACTAGCCACTCAGTGGAGACTTTTGCCATCATGGCTTGACAACCCAAACAGCCCGGGGCCCTCCTCTCACCTGCTGGCGGATCCCTCCTCTGAGACCATCATTCTCCTTCCTGCCCTTTCCCTGCTCCACCTAGGGCTCTCCTCCTTCCTGTGCCCAGAGCTGCGGAGCTGCACGCTAAGCTGACAGCTGAAGCTGGGCCTTTCCCCCACTCACCTGCAGTTCCTCTATCTATGAACAGACCACCCCGCATCCCTCTGACACCCAGGAACATAGCCTGTGAAGTTGTGGATGGCTTTCATGGGTGGGAAAAAGACTCCCACAGAAGCCCAAGCATTGCTCAAACACAACACCGACTGACCACAGATCCTGATGACTGAGAGAGCCATGCAACCCACCCTCCAAACAATGGAATCCCAGTAGACAAGAGTGAGAGGGAAACCCCAGTGGGACAAAGCTGTATCATGAGCCCCTCCACCCCACCCCCACTCCCGGGAAATTGGCTATAGGCAGCTTACAGATGCATTCCTACCAACCTCCCAAAAATAGAGTCCAGGGCTCTTTGGCACTGAGTTCCTCCAAAACCAGACGTAGACAGCAAGCTGCCTCAACAACCTCAACAAGAAAACAGGAGAAATAAAATCCAATGTCAGAGGATGTCCTGAACTTAACAACATTCATAGAAGAAGCAGACATTGATCTGCCACAGAAATAAATCTTCAGAATGCTTCTTGGAGTCATACAGGATATGAGGGAAACCACACAGGAAAAGGATGAAACAATGCACGAGATAAAGGCCATGCACAAAAGGGAAATACACGAGGTAAGAGACAAGGTACCAAAAGCAATTAGCAAATTCAAAGACTTTACCAACAGACTATAAGAAGGAGAGAACCATACCAGTGACCTAGAGGATAACCAGGCAGACTTCCACAAGCGGAAAAGACAGTCAAACAAGATAATCTGAGAAACTGAAGAAAACCTGAGAACAATGTCTGATGCTATGAAGAGGAACAACATTAGACTAATTGAACTACCAGAACAAGATACAATGAAGAAGTCAACAGCAAAATTAGCAAGTGAATTCTTAGAGGAAAACTTCCCCAGCTTAATGAATGAAAATCAGGCAACAATTCATGAAGCCAAAAGGACACCAGGTAGACTGAATCCCAAGAAGAATTCACTAAGGCATATAATAGTTTAACTATCCAACTTTGAGGAAAAGGAGAAAATCATAAGAGCAGCTAGGGGGAAAAAACAGAAGTCATCTATAAAGGTACCCAAATAAAAATATGCTTAAACCTATCAGCAGACACTATGAAGAAAAGGGGAAAGTGCAGTAACATATTCTGAAAGTTGAAAGAAAATAATGCAAACCCAAGAGTACTCTATCCAGTCAAATTATGGAGAAGAAACAGTCTTCCTGGACAAGGAAAAACTCAAAGAATATGTTAACAGAATCCCCGCTCTACAAAAAAATCCTTGCCAAGCCAATATG